CTCCGGGCTGATTCTGTTTATGTATTAGTAATTTAAAGTGCTTAGAAATCAAATAGATTATTTAAATGATAGATTTTTCAATTAATAAAACAGATAATTTTTAGGTAGATTTCTTTAGAAATCTATTTATTGTAGCCGGTCTCATATCGTAATTTTTATAAAATTTTGTCATAATATGTTTCATTTCATCGAGTAATGTCGAAAAATGGCATTGGCTCAAAAGTTTATATATGTATTTATGTATGTGTGGAACGCTTCACGTAATAATTATCCGTAACTCCTATTCTTTCCCGCTTCACAGCATTATTTATATTTGTTAAAAATGCTAACCGTAAGATGGACGGTGTGGCTTAATGTATATAGAATAAGTGAAAGGAAATTTAGTATAGACCGGATAGCTCAAATGGTAGAGTAGCCGACGTGTCTTCGGAAGGTTCTGGGTTCGAATCCCAGTCCGAGCTATCTAATAAATTTTTTCTCGCATATTCTATACACTCACATTAAGATGATCCTCTCCATAATCCTTTCTCAATCCTTTCCTACCAATTATCCTGTTACGTGAATGTTCGAACGCTTCACGTAATAATTACACTGGTCTACAGTGGTTTTGTTGCCCTAGATATAAGATTGATTTTGGATATATTTATACTCACAATTCATGAAATTATGAATGATTTTGTAAGATTTGCTTTCGTTTTTTTTTAAATACTTATTTTTATTTTACATTACAAAAATCGGAAAACGAGAAACAAAATAACAGATATATTTATAATGTCAGTTTTATTTGGATAAAAATATGATATATCGAAGTAAATAGAGAGGAAAATTTGGAAAACATGTTATATTATCATAAAACGCCTTTTAAGAGCTTTTCTTTTATAATTTTTCCGGGGAAAATCTCTTTTTAAAGACCAGCAGTAATCTGCCATCATATAACAGTCCCATCGACCCTGATATCTTTCTTCCATTACTTTCAGATCCTAGTGGAACCGCTTTCTTGTTCCTCACTATAATTTCCTAAATTATCTAGAAATTTATCCAAATGATTGCGGAGATAGTGTAACTTGATACTCATATTTGCTCCAAGAGTCTGAAAGTTTGTCAGCATATTTTGTACAATTTCTTCATAATTTAGTGCTTTATGGTTACCTAGGAAATTTTCAATTACCAACACAAAACTTTCCCAAGCTTCACTATCCGGAACAGTCATAACTTTAATAAAATCTGCGTCTTTTATCAATTGCCGTATTTGAGGACCATCAAATATTCCACCTTTCAACTTTTCCATACTAAGCTTCAGAAATTTTCGACAAATGTATTTAAAACAATCCCCTTCCTCGTCCAAAGCTTTAACGAATTGCTTTATCATTCCTAACTTAATATGTAATGATGGAAGTATGATTTTGTCTCTGTTCACCAACGGTTCCCTTATGACATTGGCTTTACCGACAGTTAGAGAATTTCTTGCAGGCCAAACATCTTGTTCCCAATGAAGTTGCTTTGCTCTACTGTCCCACATACAAAGGAAGCAAGGGTATTACGTGTATCCACTTTGTTGACCAAGTAAAAAATTAACCATTTTCAAATCTACACAGATCGGCCATTGATGCTCCAAGTATTTAATTTTTTCTAAAACTAATTTTACATTTTCATATCCTTCTTTGAGTTTTGTTGAATGGGCAATTGGAATTGATCCAAATTTATTTCCATTGTGCAGTAAAACGCAATTTAAACTTCTTTTACAGCTGTCAATAAAAAAGACGCCACTCAGTAGGTTTGTATTCTTCCAAGCCCATGTCTAAAAGCAGCTTCGCAATATCAGTACAATATACCAGTCCTTCATTTTCATCAAAAAATTGTAATAGCTAACTTTCTCGCGTTCTGTATGTTGTAATTGTTACTGTTGGTGCAAATAAATTTTTTTCTTTCAATCTTGACGCTAACAGTTCTGATTCCTGTTTTGATAAATTTAGATCCCGTATCAAATCACTGAGTTCATTTTGAGAAAATAACTTTGGCGTAGATGTTTCACCCTCCCATTCACTTCCACTGGTAGACTGCTGTTTCGATTTCTGTGAATTCGGCAACATCATTGTTTCTGAGAACATGCGAATCCTTTTTTAAACGTAAACAGGCCGAGGGAGAGTTTCACTGTGTAAAACAGGACATTTTGTAGACTGTAAGTCTGAATATCTCCACGTTTGGTTTCGATTAAAACCTTTAGCATCTACTACGCAAAAGTAACAATCATCAACATGATTCTTAGGCTCCATCCAGATCATAGGAACACCAAAGTCTAATCCAGAACGTTCTCCTTTTTCCCACAACCGCAAAGACTCAACACAGGAAATACAAACTTTATTCGGAACCCATGATTCATCTAATTTGTCCATTTTAAAACCGAAATATTCAGCATAAGTCTCCTTAACAAAGTCTGTGATATGTCGTTTTTGTTTTTTTAATATATAAATACCACAAATATAACAAAATAAATCACTACTATATTTACACTTTATTCGTGACGAACTCATGTTTAAAAAGACAAGACAAATATATTAGAATGAACACTCAGCAATTGAATCAAAATATTAACATATGACAACTTAACCAGATTCACGTGTAAGTACTTCAATATTATCAAATAACTGAGTTATCAGCTGTTTTGCGGAACAAGGAGTCTGAGAGTGGAGATCAAGTGATGTTTGTATGCACAAAAAAGTTGCGCAGAAGCTTAATCAGGACTGGAAAAACAAATTTTAGTACTAACAAGCTGATAATTGATCAAAATATAAGATACGTAAAAATCATAAAAAAAAGAGCACATTCAGCATTTTCATGAATATATTCGTAATTTAGGTACTCGAAAACATAAAAATTCGCAAAAATATC